TTAAAACGAATAAAGAATTCGTATTATCAAACATCAGCATTATAAATGGAACGAGTATTTTGAATGACTGCTGCTAGAAAACAGAAACTTCCAGTTAAACAAGGAAGGTAAATTTGAGTAAAGGGTGGAACTGACAATTGAAAATTTAGAAACAAAAACTTAGGACCATGAAATCTAATAATTCATCTGGCCCGGGAGATATGCCGCCAGAACTACAGAAATATAGTCCTCATATACTGAACGAAATGCTCAAACATGTTTTCAAGGTGCTAGAATGGAGATTCTCCTTAGGAGTGACGAACGTCTTACCTGACACCGATCCATAAGAAAGGATCATGAGATAAAGAAACAAGCTACAGACGAATAGCAGTTATTGGATCTATAGGTAGTCTGTATAGCAAATGAATACGAAATAGAATAAGTGATAAAAAAAATTGGAGAGGAACAAATTGTTTTCCTGTCGGTAGATCGGTCATAGATAATGTATTTACATTAAAGCAATTTATAGAAAAGAGAGCAAAGGAAGGCAGGAAAGTTCATTTGGGTTTTATTGATCTTCAGAAGGCGTATAATATTGTACAGGTTGCTAGATTATGATAAGAAATGGATGGACTTAAAATCAGCGAAAACTTAATTGGAGCCACACAGAATCGAAATAAAAAACTCCTCTCAGATTTAGATCTGAAGCAGGCTCTCGGATCCATTCCCAGGCAGTAAAGGTCTTCGTCAGGGTTGCTGTTTGCCCCTACGCTGTTTAAAATATCTCTGCATCAAATTGTACAGCAGTGGGAGGAAAAATGCAGAATGATGACAATGACGATAGGAGAGGATAAATTATTTACATTAGCGTACCCGTGGTAGATATTTCACATTTTAATCCTACTCTTTCTCTAACCATTTCCCTAGCCTTTCCATTAAGAATGAAAGTTGTTAATAAAACGTGTTTATTTGTTAAAAAATTCATAAATGTAATTACGTTTTTAAAGAATATCAAACAAAAATAAAAACAATGCAATTGATGTTGGAGACAAATTCGCAATGAAGGTAAATTCAGTATTACAAATATAAGTTTTTAGAGCAATTCACACTTCCTTAAAAATAACATTTGAAATAAGTATTTAATCTTCCTTGACAGCTAGCTTTTCGATTTTCTTGGTTATCCTCACTAGATTTGTTATGATGAACAGAGGGAGCAGGACGGCAGCTTGCTGGGTGCAAAAATTGGAAAATTATTTATATACTAAAAAGTATTTGCTTATGTTCTGCGTTCTTACGTACGAGAAGCAATTCCGAGCCAAAATATAATAAAACTCATATTTCCACCTTTGAGTAATAAATACCATTTGTTACCATTAGAAACAATTCAGAGGCTTAGACTTGACTTCGGTACATGGGATTGTTGCTCAAATGAAGTTTACGTATTGAATAGTCTAGTTTAATCGACACCCTAAGTTTAATACCAAACAGTGTATTATTTGCAATATGTGTTTACAGACATTGTACAGACTTACTGGTTGCACCAACATTTAAATCATGCGTCTGGATTGTGATCGTTGGCAGTTGTCGAGTGACTTGCGCTGTTTTAATTCACGTAGTGTTTTGCGCTAGCGTGTTTTGATTCTTGTTCTTCGTTTATTTCAAGCTATTTTACTTTCGTTAATTTAAAAAGTTTGTTTTTTGTGTTGTGTCATGGCACAAGTTTTCCCCTACTTCCTTCGCATTCCTGTGCGAGAACTCTCGCATGTTAAATTCCACACTCATCATTCTATTTCCATTCTAAGAGGGAACGTTGTTAACGAAACGTATTTATTTGTTTAAAAATGTATAAAGTTAACTTTCATCATACTAACAAAGTATCAAATAAAAATAAAAAACAATTCAATTTTTGTTGAAAAGAAATTTTTAATAATGATTTCGGTATTAGGTATTCGGTGTTAGCGGAACCCAGCAGGCATTGTCCTGCCCTTCAACTACCTATCTCTCCGTCTCTATCTGTCCGTTTCTCTCTCTCCCTCCGTCTCTGTCTATCTGTCCGACTCTCTCTCTCTCTCCCTCTCTCCGTCTGACTATCTGTCCGTTTCTCTCCCTCCCTCCGTCTGTCTATCTGTCTGTTTCTCTCTCTCCCTCCGTCTCTATCTGTCCGTTTCTCTCTCTCCCTCTGTCTCTATCTGTCCGTTTCTCTCTCTCCCTCCGTCTCTATCTGTCCGTGTCTCTCTCTCCCTCCGTCTCTATCTGTCCGTTTCTCTCTCTCCCTCCGTCTCTATCTGTCCGTCTCTCTCTCCCTCCGTCTCTGTCTATCTGTCCGTCTCTATCTTAATATTTGATGTAATTATTCAGTAATCTTTGAGAGTTATCCTTTTGCTTTTTGTGATAGTCACAAAAATATTAAAAATATTTTTACTCTTTAGAAACCTACGTGACTGAACACGCTGGCTTGAAAGTTTCTCCAAACCACTCCTAATAACGAAAACACTGGTACAGGTAAAACAATCCAAACCGCGTAAATATAATAAGATAGAGGAATATAATCCTTCTAAGTATGACGGCACAAAGATGGCCACCATAACCAATGGTTGAAATGTAGGAGGCATTGGTGGTATCGATAAATGCCGAACGAGCAAAATTTAGAATGTTCGAGTCTATCTCATCCGGTATATTTCGGCGTGAGGAACGTTCCTTTGGCCCCAAAATTTTAGATTTTAAAGCTCTACAACGCTTTGTTTATGAGTTATTTAACAGTATAGCTGACAGAGTTCTGCAGGTTGTATTTGACATGAATATTTAGATAATATTTTTAAACAAATCCTTTATATTTTTAATATCAAAGTGTAAGTCGTCATATCTCCGTGAAATTCTCTTTCTTTAGAGACCACCCTTTTTATAAAGATCGGTTGCAGATGAGAGCCGCAAAAGGTATGTATACTACTGAAATAATATCGGAGACGATTACATTTTGTCGATGACCAGGAAGTAATTGCAGAAGATGCGGACGATTTAAGTTTCATGATCCGTTAACTCAATGATCACTTTTTAAAAACAGAACTTACTATTAACATGGACAAATCTGAATACCTGGCAGTTGAGATCAATGAGATAGAAGATCTTCTGTTGAAAAATGAAGAGGCAAAGAAAGGTGTAAACAAATATAAATTTTTGGGTGTACTTTTTAATAAAAAGGGAAGCAGTCACGAAGAAATTGAGAGACAAATAAGCTTAGAGAGAATCGTAGCAATAAGTATAAACTCCGTCTTACAGAACAAAACCATCACTTATCTTAAAAAGGCGTCTATACTTCATACTAGTGAAGAGTTTTACAACGTACGGTTCAAAATTTTGGTTGATAATTTAGGTTGATAAAAGATCAAAAGAGAAGCTACTGGCTCTTGAAATGGACTACTGGCGCAGACGTTGTTGTTACAGCAGACGTGACAAAATCAGGAATGTTGACATAAGGCAGAAAATGGATATACATAAATCTATCCTTGACGAAGTAGAGAAAAAACAAATCGTTTCGTAGGTCATGTTATGCGAATGACAGAAGAAAGATGGCCAAAACGAGTCCTGCAATGGGTGCCGATAGAAATACAGAAGAGAGGAAGACCCAGATTTTCATGGCAGCAGGGAGTACAAGAGGATAAGACGGCAAGAGATTATTAATGGTCAAATGGAGAGGCATGGAGACTTAGAGCGGAGAAACGGCGATAGCTGTAGAGCAACTCCCACTATTCTCATTATCAATACCTGCAAATACTTTTCAGGGCCATTATAATTTTTAAATCGCAATATTACAGTTCATATCCCGTATGGAAGTAACATGCATGGCCATTGAATGTTAGGAATTTTTGAGCTGGAGTATAACATCAGCTACAATGATTCAGTGCCAGATACTGTAAGAACATATTTCAACAAAGCTTGCCATGAACGAAATGAAGTGTAAAAGACATTTTTAACACACAAAAAAACAGTTTATAGCGTCGGGACGCCACGTTCATCTAGTTATCTGTGAGGCTTAAAAGGACAAAAATCACTTACGATCAGTCAGTTTCAAAGTATATCGATTTACTATACAATTGAACGTAGTTGCACTTGTGTGATGCACTAATGTGCCCATGTCCACTTTCAATTACAGCTAGTTTTATTCCTAAGTACCTAAAAATATCAGCTGGCGTCAATGCAAATAAAGGAAATTTAAAAAATGGCATATTTTCTCATACAATAACATATCAACTTACAATGCAGTAAATCAATGAAACTGCAGAACAAAGAGTTACACAGTGGATCCAGAAAGCATAAGTCACCACATTACTGTGATATTGGGTCAAGCATTAAAAGGAGAAAAGTTGAATAAAACGCACTAACATTTTTTAGGTGTTAATATCGCCTGTTCTTGAACATAAAATGAGTAGGGTGTATTACAATTGTTGTAACAAACTAAAACCTACTAAAACTAGAGGACAGAAAATATTAACTAATATTTTGCAATAATTTCAAATACCTACACAGGTAGAAGAAAGGTGCCTCAAGGTGTACAGAAAGGAATCCCTCACAGTAAATTTTCTTGCAAATATAAAAATACACAATTGGTTTTTGGTATAATATTTCCCAGCAGGAAATTATTAGCATGCAATCAGCAGCTGACGTAAATGCTTGCTTAGATCATTTGTTACCGTACAAAGTCGATAACTACCAACAGCATTCCTTGAACGACAGAATACCCACCACTCAAAAGCGAATATCGTCGACTTATTTGGATACCCAACTCAATATCACAGTAATTTTACCTACAATTTTTTTTTCTTTCTCATTCGGCAGGAAAAAAAGACAGAAATATCGAACTAATCAGCAAATGGAGAACTCGCAGTATTGTATTGTAACCTTGGCGCGGCTCTGCATGCGGTACGATACAAGGTGACTCATCGGCGGATAGCAAGCACCTCAGGGAAAAACGCCAAGCCTTTTATAGGCGCGCGAAGGCGGCGGCGAGTATCAGTCAGTGACCAGCGCGAATTCCGACACCCCGCACGCCCCGTCCGACGTCTCTCTTCCCACCATGGTGCGCGTCGCTTCTCCGCGTATGGTGCTGCTGATCGCGGCGGTGGCGCTGGCGGTGGCCGCCGCGGTGGTCGAGGCACACCCCAAGCCGCACCTCCTGTCCCGCGTGCAGCGAGGCATCTTGGACTTCAGCGACAGCGGCAACTTCGTCGCCACCATCACGGGGTTGCTTTTCAAAGCCATGAGGTTCGCAATGTACTACATGATGCCCAAGGATATGTACTTCGCATTATTTGGTGACGTACGTGTTGCTATTTTCAGTATTTTTTATTGTTATTTTGCGTAGATTGTTTAACGTACATAATTATTAGACATAGCGCAGCAACTTGAGCGGGTTAGCCGTGCAGCATTTAAAATGTTTTAGTTCTTACAGTACACTCAGAAAATAAGATTTTTCTTCCGTTCTTTCGTTCGGTTACATGAGTCTATCCACGTAATAGGAGCAAAATAAACATATTCGCTCCATTTTCTTTCTTATTAACTTCAATTTTTCTGTCCATATTATCATCATTTTTGCTGTTTGCACTCCTTTTACTATTTTGGTTTAATTATTGAGGTTTTCGGATATTTTATAGCAACTTGTCTCATTATTGCTCTCTTTTTTCATTCAAAGAAGCTTAAGTGAAGGAACATTAATGTTCTGACAGCTAAAGTGGATATACACGTTGAGATGATTTCTAAAATATATCGGAATTGAGAATTAATGGCCATTAGTTCATGATTAAAAGTTTGGGACTATGTTCTTTTCGAAAAAACACTAAAAATCTCGATGACAGATTTTTTCTATGTTCTCTCAACTGAGTAATACCTCCAGAGAAACTCATATTTCCAGCAATAATTTTCTCTTTGGCTATTATCTGTAATATTGGCAAGTCATATCGACTGCAATAAATAATTTTAGTATAGGATTTATGACGTAATAATTGGTTGTATAAGCTGCATTATGATATGTATTTTCAATTTAATATTTAATAAATAATAAAACAAGTTTCTTTCTCAATACATATGAACTAGTGTTGAACGAAATTAAGCAAATAATACATACAAGAAACATGTACAAAAATTAATTGATATTTATATGCATTTTCTGTAATTAAGCTTAATTTATATGCATCTTCCAAACTAATTCTCCGAATCTAAACGAGAATTTGAGTGCTTGAAAAAGGTTGACCTTTACTTTATACGACGTTCTATTTTGAAATAAACAATAGCAGAGTTAGGTAGCTTGCATGGAGCATCCCATTTAACAAGTACTTCCCTTTTCTTTATTTAAATTGCGCCAACTTTGAACTAGAATAGCTCGAGCCCGACTTGCAAATCGTTCTGTCCCATGGCACGGAACCAACCGAATCACCAATTCGCGCCGTGCGAGCAAAAACAAACAACCCCTAACAAATGCATATGACTCAGCTTCGGCTTAGCCGAACGTGAAAGCAAGTGTCTTAAATATTCTCAAATGTAGATCTATTTAAGTTATTCTATCAACGACGATGCGAAAATATTTTATTATAACACTTTTACGGCAGCTAGATGTAGCTTCACTACTGTTAATTTGTATGTATTAGAGCTTAAGTGCCATATTCACTGCTATAACAACTTCATTTTCAGAAGAAAAAAGGGTTGCCTGAACCTAACAAGTAACACTACTACAACTGAGATGTTTACACCAATTAGAAAATCGAAGTGCGGAACAAAAAACAAATAATTTTCATCTTTGATTTTAAGTTGTTTCGCGTTTGACTATAAACCAGCATATTCTGCTTGGAAACTTTGCTCAATACAAAAAATGCAATAAATATATTTGGAGACCTTTTTAAAACATGTTGATAAACTTAAGAAATCTACCTTAAATAACCCACTAAAGATATCTCTCACAAAACGACGACAATAAAAAAAAGCACTGAATCAGAAGCACTAGACATTCATTGTACAGAAAATAACTCTAGAAATTTGCACACGATACGGGATACGAAAATATTAATGTCGTGGACAGGGCGAATCAAAACTATAAAGCAATTTAATATATATATTATAATAATAATAATTATAATTATTATCATTATAATAATAATAATAACAATAATTATAATTATAATTATTATTATTATTATCATTATTATTATTCGCGTCGGTGCCATTACTAACCACGCAACACATTTCTCTCTTCGAGGGCCAGTGGTATTCTTTCCCTGAGAAATCAACATGTGGAATTCAACCTTGGGGATCAATCAACGTTTCGGCTTCATCTCGTGTTTAAGACAGAGTTGTTAGCCTTGAATATAAATTAGGGAATATATGGGGGTATTACTATTATTATTGTTATTATTATTATTATTATTATTATTATTATTATTGTTATTATTGGGAAATTATGAGGGGTAAAGGATGATGGTAAGAGGTGTTAGATGGGGTAGTGGTAGGTGTTCGTAAGATTTTGGAACGATCCCAGCATTCGCCTTGTGTCCGAGGGAAACCACGAAACCATGGTCAGAATAGCCGGCCCGAGGATCCATCCCGAACCTCCCGAGGGCGAATCCAACTTGCTATCTTGCTATGTACTGAGCCACTTCGCTCGGCGGATATTATGTATATATATATATATATATATATATATATATATATATATTTGTAATTTATTCGATTAGAGGGACACTAATCGAACTGAAAAATTACTTACTAGTCCGTACATTGTGTTAATTTTTAGAAGTTTGTGAAAAAATAATTGCCCATTTTGTTGAAATGTAAGAAATTACATGTTTAACGACCTTTAATTTACTTTTAGAACAAAACGTACTAACATTTTATTCTTCAAGAAAAAAGTTTAGTCGTATCTTATATAATGTAAACATTGAAGCTGAATACTTGTACGTAGATAATATTTTTTTTATTTTATTTATTATTTAAATTTTATTTTTGTTATCAGGAACCTTAACACTACTAAAGGAGAAACTAGGCTGATAAGAATAAATGCATTCAAAACATGAGTTTTTCATTAGCATATATTAGCAGACGTTAAATTACATTTATTTTTAAAACTTTTTTACGATAGTTTGCATTAATCTGATATTAGCTTGAAGTTAACATCCTACAAACGCTGTTTTTTACAGTTAACAGTCGATTGACTAATAAAATAAGTTATTTTGCATCATTAAAACAAGTGTGTAGCATATCAATTTCATAAACATGAAAAGAGAAATACTCTTTAAAACTAATGTATAAGTATTGCTGTGTATTAAAAGTGCTTTTTGCAATCTAGTTTATAAAAGTTACTAACGAACACTTTCTTTTGTTTCAGGATACAGTTAGCGCTCAGGAATCTCTGTTCAGTGAGTCATAAAAATACGACAGCGTTCGTCTCAGATCACAATTTTTGTAAATATGCGTGAAATACACACATTGAAAAAAAGCCTTTCATTCAATGTGTTCGACATAAGTTACATTTATTTATTCCTCCTATACATAACCCTACTGTACCGAAACAAAGAACAAACGCATCTTGCATCCCTAAATCCCTAATGTTTCCATCAACTAAGGACATGGAAATGTGCTTTCAATGCTCTTGTCTCAAAGAACTTCCTAGAATCTTAGTCTTCAAGCATTTCAGACAACTTACGAAACCCACCTGGCAGGAATGGTTAGGAAAGTTGAAAACAAAGAACAAAACCCCAGTGCGTCTACAAAGGTAGGAGACCTTCTAGATTCTAAGTGAAACTTCTCCCAACCTGGTGCTTGTACACCTGGCCTTGTAGACCTCCGGGGCATAGAGCCCTTTCGCTCGAGAGTGCACGTAACTTTTTAATCATGCCGCTCTTTTTTGCCACAGACACAGAGAAAGTATTTTTTTCACTCTACTTCTCAGTGTACTCCCTAGTCTTAAAGTTGAGATTATCCACTTGAATGTGCGGTAAGTAATAATTTAATCTGCGAAAATATGTGCTCATTGAGACAGTAATTAAGAAAGCTTTCTAAACTAATTCACAATCGAAGCTAGCACTTCCTTGCCGACATTGGTCAATGAAACATAAGGTATTTTTTGTTCTTGTTCAAGGCGGTGGTAATGATAAAGCAAGTATATTATTCGAGACACCTCTGACTGCAGGAGGTACACACCTTGATTCTTTCAATTATTCTAAATTAATTTTTTTAAATCGTGTTTTGATGGGAGTTACGCATGTAAGAGTAATTTTTGGTACGAGAGTTAAAAGTAACATTTTATTTTTGTCTTGCTTCGACTGGAGGTAAAAGGTGGTAATTTTTGCAAAATAAATATTTCCCATATCAGTTAGTCCGGTCCAGAGTAACAACAAATTACTGAGTCAATATTTAGCAATAGTGATGAAACTGTCTTTCGTTATCCTCCAAACTGACTAATTGGTCTCAGGAATTTTTTTAGGAATAAATACAGATCTTTTAGTGAAAATTGAACCTGCGCAAGTTTTAGAGTAATTTGCTCAATTTAAACAAAAAAATATAATGAAAATATTGGTGCTGCAAGAGCACATACATTTTAGCTTTATTGAAAACAGCAACGTAATATTTTAATATTGCATTTTCTGGGCAAGTAACGTCTCGGCTATCACTTGAAAACGTCCAATTCAACCAAGAAACTAGAACCTGTTGCTAGCGCAGCATTGCCAAAACCATGTGCATTTGCTTGGCAATATTATCAATTCTTGAGAAAAACTCTTACTTCCATCAGTATACAGATTTCAACGTGTTTATCGGTTATTCATAGTACATCTTACTCAGTTGATAAATAACTCTGATACTAATAAACTAATAAAATTAAATTAAAATTACATTAAATATTCTACGTTTTGAAATATTAAGTTAATTCATAACCGCCTTTTTATTTATATGTTGATACTACCTCAAACAAACCGCATGAAAATAAGACTCTAAGGTAGTATTCTATGAAAAGTCGTTTAATTCTATTAAAAGTCCTCGTAAAATTCTATTAAAGGTCGTTTCTAGTAAAACGCCTTTCTTTGAAAGTAATAGTGCGTACTACAGTATTATTTAACACTGCTTTGAGACAAACGACTTGCCTGATAATGGAAACACAACCTATTCCCATTCTCAATAAAGCCCGGGAAAGCCTAAAATGATTCAACTAGCTATCAACCGATTAGTTTGCTACCCATAATGGGAAAGCTATTTGAAAATTTATACTCTCTACGTTAAATTTTTACCTCAGCTCAGTCAATGCAATACCACTTCACTCGTTTGGATTTCAACCCCAATTATTAACGAATCTTCAAATCTTACGACTAACTGATGATATCATCGAAGGATTCCAAGACCACAAGCACACCGCAGCATATTCCGTAGATATAGCTAAAGTTTTCAATACAGTTTGGTTCCCCGGGTTAATTTTCAAATTCCGCAGTATCGTTACTCCATTATAATCTCTCACGCACCATGTTTTTATACCGAGTGAACATTTTATGTACTATACGCGCAAGTTTTCTTGATATTCCATAGCGGGGGGTGCGGGGAGAGGAAGGATGTGGCTACGTCACGGTTGAAAAGGGCGTACCAACTATGGGCATGAACTTAATTCGCCAAATGGCACTAGAAATGCTACGATTGTTTTGAAAGTACGAGATGGTTGTTGCCAGCATTGTAAATGAGTACGTGCCGTTCCGAGTCAAACCTAAGTATGTCAACGTGCCGTGCTATTCAGCGCTGGATGAGGACTAGGGAGCTCGTGTATCAAGAAAACTTGCGGGAGTAATACGTCTCCCAGGAAGTCTCTCCGCACCTTTCATCATCATAGCAGGAGTACCCCAAGGAATCCATCCTCTCCCCCACTTTGCTTAATATACCAACAATCCAAATACTAAAATTGCTCTGTTTGCTGATGATACAGTACTTTATTCCCCTAAAAGCAATCTTGAATCTCCCGTGAAAGATCTGCAACATCACCGAATATTGTTTTCCAACAGGGCCACAAAAGGCACATTGAAATAAATCCAAATAAAAGCCAGGTAAAAATATTTACCCTCCTTAGACCACACGTTCCTCAAAATATCACATACTAATCACAAAACATCATTCCCTCCCAACAAAACTGTCAAATATTTTAGAGTTCTGCTCCACAAAAGACGACGGCAAAATATATATCCGATTCTCAAAAAATCATTCTCCCTTCAACTACATTTTTCCATTTACCTCTATAAATCAACGATCGTCCCATACTTTCCTTTGCTTTCCCAGTTTGGGCTGCTGCAGTCAAAACAAACGTCAAGAAAATGCGAATTTTCCAAAATAGATTCCTACGCACCATCACAAAAGCTTCCTGGAACATTCCGAATTTACGTATTTACATAATGAACTTGGCATTACCCCATTCCCGCCCACTTTTCCCTCTTATCTATTCTCAATTCTACTCAAAATTATAAATATTCTTTCAGCTATTTACTTTGACACAGGTAAGCAGAATCCTCATCGCAAAAGATTAAAAAGAAAATTACCAAGATAAGTTTTCTAGACATAAATCGATATGTGTTTTCTCGTTTTAAACTATATTAACCATTGTATTGTAGGGTACCTAAAACTAAATATTCTGCACATTATGTATCAATAATATAAATATATATATATATATATAATATATATAGAGAGAGAGAGAGAGATGAGAGAGAGAGAGAGACGGAGAGACAGAGAGAAATAATAGGTAGGTAGGTAGGTAGATATATCAATGTATTTTTCATATACGACTGCAGAGGGCCAATGGCCAAGCTAGAATAAATTAAAATAACAATTAAAAGAAGCAATTTAAAATGAAACGACATAAATATAACAGAAATATATAAATAACAACAATAAAATGAAATATAAAATAAAAAACCAAATTCTAACTTACGGAGCATCCAACTGCCTGGAATCGTTCACGAAGCCCCAGTAAACAAAAATACTAATACATTAAAAAAATTAAACACTACCTCATATGAAGATCTATTTTTATCAACACATTTCTTTAAAACATATTATATCGTCACAATTGTAGTTGTAAGAAGACGCAGAAAATTTTAATTTTTTTAAATTTTTTAAACTTTTTGCAAAATCACACATTCAATGAACATCAGACCTGCACCATTCTCTTAAGCGTCCTTTATGTTACCTAAGGCGCCAATTAATAATTAAATTAATAATTAATAATTAAAAATGTGCGGTTTTAAAGTAAAAATGTTTTAAAGAAAATAAAAATTGCCTGTTTGACACAAAATTTTCCCAAAAATTATCATATTTTTTACAAAATTCAACACGATCTTATCTAAAGATCTGTTATCGATGAACACATTTCATCAATATGAAAAAGAATTGCATATTCATAATTGTTGTAGGAGTACGACGAAAAAACGATGGAATAATTTTTGAGAAAAAATGTTTAAACAAAAATTTCACATTGCACGCAAAATTACGCAAAAAATACTCAATTTTTTGAACGATTTTACATGATCTTATTTCCAATTCTATCTTTAAGGAACAAATTCTATGAAGCAAAAAATTTTTACCTTTACTATTTTTGTTTTAGGAAGACACCGAATTTAGATTTTTTCATTTTTTGAAATCAGATTTTTTACCAACATGACACCTACACTTTTTTACCTTTTCTACGCCTACTTTTTTATCGTAAACGCTCTTTAGACCATCCAACAACAAAATTTAGTCAAAGAAATGGAACAATTTTTTTTTGAAAATGACCCAGAAGCTTCATGTAAAGTTCCTTCCAAAATAAAAACATCAATTTCAAGTTCAAGGAGCCACTTCATCAGCCAAATGGATCGAGGAATTTCAATTTTGGATAATATCGGCTCTAGAGTTTAGCCGATTGTGTTCTTCACAGATGGACAAACGCTTTGCTGGCAACCGAATTTTCGGTATCAAGGTCCCACAAAACGTGGATTCTGGCTACACCACGTGTTAGAAGGTTTTGTTTTCTAAATTTAGCAAGAGGATTTATCAACTTTTTCGAAACCAGAGCCCTGTAATTAGAGTTTTTCTGCCGAAAATTCTCAGTTTTTTCGCGAAGCATTACATAACTTACTCTATTCGAAGGTAGCAGTAGCAAGAAAGTAAAAATTTAAGTACTTTTTTATTTTAAAAATATCCTCAAAACTTTGTGAAAATTACCCAGGAAATTAAATGTTCAGACTCAAATATTCAGCCATATGATATACGGGAAATATTTACTTTGATAAAAATTCTGAATACGATTTAGACACTGTTATGCACTGACCATGTTATGCACTGACGATCAGATATTTTCAGAAAAAAACACATTTTTTTAGCTTTAAACCCAATAAACATGAATTTTAATAGTATAACATATAGAAAATGATAATTGCCTAAGTAGATGAGCAAAATAAAGTCGATTTTGTTGGTATTGGGCACTCT